AAACACAGTCATATTCAAAGTAATCCCAAATTGGACTCTGGCTCCCGACTTTTCCTGACATGATTCTGAGCGTGGACGGAGCAGCGACACAGACGACTCGACTAACGTGCTGCCACCTGCTGGCATAATGAGACACAGCAAGAAAAAAATCTGGAAACTAAACTTCATTTTCACCCTTGACTCTTGTATGACACGCACACATCAATGAAAACTAAACACATTTTTGCTATAAATTCAGTTAATTTTAGTTAGTTTTGTGAACACTCATTACAGTTTTAGTTCGTTTTCCTTTTTTTGTTTTTATTTCCGTTAACGAAAATGTTTTTTCACTTCTAGTTTTCGTTAAGTTTTTGTTAACGATAATAACCTTGCCGATTACAATCAGACTGTCTGCAGCAGCTTTGAAACGTCACGGTCTCAGTTTAAGAGTCTAAAAGTCATCTGAGCTCATCTTCACTCAGATATTCTCCAGCGGTGACTATGATAAATGATCGATCGGTGATTAGAGTGTAACACAGTAAACGTTTGCAATGTAGGAAACTGACAGCGTCACTGTCCACAGAGTCACGGCGATGAAGACTACAGATGATGATAGAGCTGTGATGTCATCACTGTCTCTGTCCTGATACATTGATTACTGATTGACTGATTGATAACAAACTAACATAAATGTGAGACTTCAGCGTTTGTAAAGACTTCTGCAGATTGTCTCCTCTGAGCTCCAACTTCATGAATCTGAGGTCAGTCAGCTGATTCAGGTGCAGCAGGAGGGGAGGAGTCAGGCAAAAAACACCTGCCAGCATACGGTTAGGTTCAGTGTTACCATAGTTACTGTCTCATAGTCGACGTTAACTCTCTTTCTCCCTCATCTTGAGGTTAAAAGACTCAGTTGTAACTGAACCTGCTTCCTGTAACGTGCCCCTGAGTGAGGCAGCACACTACCTGTCCTGTCGTGGAGCTGCATGCTGTGATCCCTTTGGGTGATTGTTTAATTTGTGTTTCAGGTGAAATCTCTCAGGTGCTGCTCGACTCGTTCCGTCAGGAGCTCCTCTTGAAGCAGACAATCCTACAGGAAGTGGCTCACACGGTGACCTCTGACCTCTGCATGGTCTTTCTGTCCTGCTGGCTCCATCAGCCGTTCATTCCCACGCAGAGCAGACTCAGGCTGGAGGCGTTGCTGCTGGAGACTGGGCACCGCCCACTGTGAGACCGTCAGCCCTGTCGGAGATGAAGCACATGAAAGAGTCGCAACAGAGGAACGCCAGACTGATCAGTGACTCTATTGATCATCCATTAAACCTGATGCAGGTGTGACCCTGGTTCCACCTTGATGAAGGAGACTCACTCAGCCCCTTTTTTGTTTGAGATCACAGGAAATAAACTGATCAATACCTGTCATCAGCACAGCGGAGCTCACCTGTTGCCTCACCTGTACTTGTGTGGCTAAATTCTGATGACATCATTAAGATTAAACATCTCCACAAAGAACTTACCCGCTCAAGCGTTTGGTTGCCGTGGCGATGTTATGTTTAAGCATTTTTTTTTTTCCTTGTTACATCACGGATTGATGGCAAGTTTGTTCAAACCGGAAGCGACACACCTGGTCAGACTCTGCATGAGCCACCTGTAGCCATGGCGTCTGGGTGCTGAAGCCCACAGCCCGCCCTTTATGGATGTGATGTGTTTATGTGCCTGAAATAAAGACGGAGGTCTTTGTACACATGAACAGTGTACAATAAAGTTGTTTTAAATCTGCTGTGTGTGTTTTAAATTTTCAGTGGAAGCAAAAGGTGGACGTCCCTGGTTAGAGGGTTGACAGGTGTGTGCGCGAGAACACAGACGCTCTGAGGTGGGTGGAGTTCAGCTTAGTTTATTGGGAGGAACAGGAAACACTCGAACAGGACAACGTTTTTCCCCTCTGTTCTTGCGTCGGTTCTCCGAATGTTCTCATCCCGTTTGGAGAACGTGTTGTGTGAATTTTATAAAAAGTAATAAAATAGTGCAACTTTTTAAACTTTATCTACATATGAACATCCAACGGATCACTTCACGGTCAACGAGTCCAGACACAAAGTTTACACATTCACAGCCAATCAGAGTGCAGGAAACCAGGGAGGCTGCTGATGACATCATCGCAGGTGGCACTAAACGAGCCAATCAGATGCACTGTACAGAGCCCAGAGTCTGCAGAACACGCTACTGCACCTGGATGAAGGGGAAACCACCTGTCGCCATGACGCCATCCCTCTGGTTTCTGAAGTCATGGCGAACATCATCAACAGGAGCTTCAGTCTGAACCAGAAATGGCCGGACCTAAGTTTCCAGGTACGGTCTGGGGTCAGGTTAACGGAATTGTTCGTCCTGTTGTCCTCAGCAGGGCGGAGTCAGAGCAGGCGCCCCCTGCAGGCGGCAGTGTTTACTACAGCTGTAAAGTCCAGCAGAAACCTGAGGGGGGCGCCGAAAGTGCAGGATGGTGTCAGGTACGTCTGTCTGCAGCACTGCCTCACTCCACCTTAAAAGTCAGCGTGGTATAGACCAGGTGCTGGTTCCGGTCCAGGTGTTTACTGGGGGGCTTTGGCTCCGTCGGACGCCTCAATGCCCAGCAGGGCCTGGACCGCCTCCAGCGGCACGCCCTCCGGGGTCTGAATGTGCATGGTGGTTCCATCTGGCCCGTTAACGATCACAATCCCGTCTGAGCCCGGTTCTGCCAGCTGCACCGTCAGCCCCTCCGTCTGGATGTAGATCTCCTCGCCCTCCTGCACCTCTTTGGCCTCCGAGGGGCCCAACTCAGGGTTGGAGGGGCTTAGAGTCTGGATCAGGCTGGATTCAGGCTTGATGACAGATCCGGGTGTAGGGGCGGGCTCAGATGACTTTGTGTCCGTGGGGTCACTGGGACTTGAACCCAGAGCTTTCTCCAGCTCCGTCACCCGGGGTCCGATGTCTGTAGAGCTTGACGCCTGTTCCTGGTGGACGTCATGGTCCTCACTTGGGGTCACTTCCATAGGGGTGTCAGGGGGCGGGGCCTGTGAGGAGCTGTGAGAAACACATTGCAGTGCAGTGAGACAGGAGCACTTTCCAGAAGTGACCTCACCTGAACTCGATTTTCTAGAAATGGCCGAGTAAAAATACATTCGCCACATTACGGAAACCCTGACCTCACAGGTCACCTGTGATCACATCGTCACCTCAGGGCATGGCTACCACGCACATGTACTTAGCAAACAGCAGGTAGAGACAGCTCACCTGGAGGAGTCAGCAGAGACTGTCAACAGTCTGGTTCCCTCTGGAATCACGAGAGGAGCGACAGAGACCGAGCAGGACTTCAGAGGGGTCACAGAGGTCACCGCGGTCCCACCTGGTCGGACGACATGCAGAGAGATTAAGAAAGCACAGATAGATGTTTTATCTGCAATTTAGGTGTAGATTAGGACATTCCAGCCATACCTGTTTTTGGCGTCTCGAGGCCATTGTGATGCACGGGGACGCTGTTCTCCATCTTGAACCTCTTGGATGGCGGCAGCATCTTAGAGTTCTGGGAAGGAGACTGATGCGGATCAGAACCGTACCTCTAATCTTCAGGTAAACCTCAGTGAGAAGCTGTGGTCGACCTCATTGTCAGCTACGACTCTAAAGCTGTGATTGGCTGCTTAGACTGACCGCCCGACCATGCGGGGACGTAGGCTTATCTTGTTATAACAACTTGGATGCAGGTGTGCTTACCTCCATGTATCGCACGTTCTTATTTGTTGAACTGGAGCCAGGAGACGCTCCAGGAACCACCTTCATCCTGTTCACCTCGTCCAGGATCCCTAGAGACCTGGCCACCTGAAACACAGCACGGTCTGGGTCACCTGTACGCCGCAGGGTCCACTTGTAACAGGTGTTCTGATGTCAGCATGGGCCTCACCTCGATGTTCCTGATTTCCAGGGGCGTGGCTCCACCCTGTGGGCTGCTGATGTAATCCTGGGCGGCCTGCCTCACCTGAGCCTGCAGGGACTCGAACTCACGGTAAATGTCTGGGAAATGAGTTCGACCCGGACCGCCGCGCTCCACCTGGAACAGCCAGGGCACATGATACACTGCAATAGCTGCACATCATTTACAGAGAAAATAAGAGTCAGTGTGATGAGAGAGCAGCTCAGTTTAAACTGTCAGGATATTTATTTATTACAGCTGTTTGTAATGACATGCTCCACTGTCTTGTGCTCACATGATTTGCTCTGGCATTAATAAAGTATTCTGATTCTGAGCCCCTGATGATGTCACAGATCCCGGCAGGTGTGGATAAAGGTTTGTCCTTCGTGTGTGCGTACCTTTGCCAGCATTAGCTCCCACAGACTCATCACTTTGGTCAGACGAGGAAGAACGATGTCCATCAGCTCCTCATCCTCGCACTGCTCCACCACCTGTGAGCGACGTGATAGGACACTCAGGTGTTAGCACATTAGGTGACTACACATAAATCAATATTTTTGAAGACCTTTACTCTGAAAGGAGCTGCTTCCTCCACCTTACCTCCTCTAGACGCTCTCGTCTTCTCTCTACCTGCTGCTCTGCTGTTACCATGGTAACACCCAACTTCGGAGGTCGACCACGGCGACCTCTCCTACTCACGAGGCCCACAGTCACCTGTGAAAAATGAGCAATCAGATTCACCTGAGTGCTAACAGAGCAGGACGAGGTTTCTGTGCAAACTACTGTACAGGTGAGCTCACCTGGACAAGTGACAGATGTAGTCAAAGGTCTAATAAGAGTTGAACAAAGGTCTATTTACAGCAAAGCATCCCGACAGCGCGTGAGGTCGCATATTGTGCTGTTTGTCCCATCACAGACACCGTACACAGAATGATTACTGTGTTTTGCCATTTTGTAGGACGATACTACTTTGTTGCTTTTATTTTGAAGGCAACATTTATCCTTTTTTAATTCAAGTGTGTCTGTGCGTGCATGAATGCAGCTTCTCTGTAAATGTGTCAGAGCCCATGTGTCTGAGAAATGTGAGTTTTCTGAAAGATGAAAGTACTTTTTAGTTTGAATTAGAGCTGGGCGATAGAACGATAACGATGTGTATTGCGAAATAACTTTTTCTCGATAGAAAAGTTAAACTATTGCGATAAACCTCACCGCTCGTCATCTTAAAAAAAAAAAAGAACAGCCAATCCAAATTAAGTAGCGCAGAGCCGAACCAATCATAGCCGCAGCGTCACGTCAGGTGACTTGTTATGTACAGCACAAGTGCCAAGCCGCACATGTGTATTTGGGAAACAGTCAGCCGCCGTGCCGCCCGGGTAACGGAGGAAATGAGTGCCGACTAGAGAAAAATCAACCGAGAGCGTGACCGAAGGTTAGTGAAGAGAAAACAGATGATGGTTCCAATGCCGGAGAGATTGTCGAACAGAAGAGCCACAGAAGTTCTGTAGTGTGAAGGTATTTCAGCTCTTTCAAGTCTGACAAAAACAGAGTAGCGCTCTGTAAATGTGCCGAAAGCAAGTCTGGAAATACAATAAAGCGGTGCATGCTCAGTCTCTGACTGGAAGCGCTGATTCGTCATTCGGCTTTTGTCAGACTAAAGTAACTGTTAAACTGTTTGAAAAGCTCAGCTATACAACAAGGAGAGATTGAGAATTTCCTTTTAGTTCTCAGTTTATTTGATGTTGACAAAAGTTAGTCAATTTTGTCTGTTCTTCTGTAAAACAAACTAAGATTTATTTTTAGAATTAATATTTTGTTTCTAAGTGGAATTGACAATTTAGTTTGTTTTGTTTGTTCTGTTTTGAAGCTTAAACGCTTTAGCGGCTGCCTTTTGTGTAGTTTGCAATATTTGCCTTTATTTATCTGAAAAAATCTCATGTTCCTTAAGTACATCTACCCTGTTGAACTTATTATGGGAAATAAATATTTAAATCAAAACAAGCTGCTGATTATTTCACATTTTTCTTTGACTACGATGACCTGGATGACTGAGAACCTTCACAGACATATTTCACATTTTACTTGTGAGCAACGGCACATTTAAATCTTACAAATATAGTTATTTGGCTTTTATCGTGATATATATCGTTATCGCCTGAAATGAAAAAAACATATCGTGATATGAAAAAATCTTATATCGCCCAGCTCTAGTTTGAATTGGGATAAAGCACACCTGGATCACCAGGTGAAGTGACATAGGAGCAGGCAGCAGTGCACTCTCTGCCAGGGACCTCTGAAGCACACGCAGGGTGAAGTGAGTGAACTGAAGCGGGTTACAAAGCAGCAGTTGTTTGTGCCAGGAGTAAAAATGAACTGAGTCACAGCTGGAGTTTTGTTCTTCACTCAAAGAGGAAGAAGCTTCTGCTTCTCAGTGTCACCTGTGTGCTCTCCACTGCAGACATTGAGCCCGACTGTAATGTTGCAGGGAGCAAATTTCTCTCCAAAGAACAAAGAGCTGAAAAGCTGAAGTCCTTCAACTACAACAGAACAGCGACGGCACTTTCAAAGTCTGGGAACGATGACGACCGGCTAGCTGTAACATGAACTCTCACCGGCAGCCGTTCATCACTTTCATACTGAGCAATCTCACCTTAGGAGGCGGCCCCAGTGACCGTCCCCGCCCTCGTCCCCGACCCCTGCCTCGCCCTCGTCCTCGGGGACGGCCGGGGCCCCGATGATGGAGGCCTCTGAGTCCTACAGCTGCTGCTGGACCCCCCTCCACCTGCAGACGGACAACAGTCAGCTCACTGTCGACAGCTGTTATTATCCTGAATGTTTGAGCTGCAGAAAGGGCTAACCAGCCATAATTAGCTGGTTAGTTAACAGCTTATTAACTGTACACAGACAATAAGAAAATAAACTGTAGGATGACAGATCTCTGCTGTGATTGGTGGATGATTTCTCACTTTATTTGTTGCCGTGGCAGCAGGTTTGTCATCCTTATTTTTCTCCTCCTCCTCATTGACGCCAACTGTTGCCGTTTCCTCTGATTGGCTGTTGTCTGGAAGGGGGTGCGGTGTGTTCCCCGGTGGGTCGCCGGGTGGCTCTGGCTCCCCGTGGGTCGGGTTCAGTTTGTAGTGGCGGTTCAGGCCGCCAGCACCAATGTAGGCCTTGTCGCAGGTCTGGCAGCGGTGGGACCGAGACTTGTGGCTGTAGGTGAGGGAGCTGCCGGGTGTGGCGCCATCCTTCCTGCTGCCCCCGCCGTCCTCCTCCTCCACGCTCATGTCAGAGTAGTCGTCTGAGTCGGACTGGTGACTTTCGGCGAGGTCCTCTGTCTTTATGAACTTGTAGTCTTTGGCTTTGTACTTCGGTGGTCTGGAGACCCGCCCGGACCGGGTTTGGACCTTCATTGCTTTTTTCTCCCTCTTCTTTGCCTTCTTCTCCTTCTCTTTTTGCTCACTTCTGTCCTTAGTGGGAGGGGCTGTAGAGGGCGTGGCCACCGTGACACATTGTGCAGCAGGCGCAGCGGTCTGTACTGGGACTGCCGTGACTGTGACAGGTGGTTTAATGGGACTTTTACGGGCAGCAGCCATCGTGCCGTTAGCAGGTGTTTTAATTAATGGAAAGCTAACAGTTTTAGCCACAGTAGTGGGTGGAGTCTTAATTATTGAAGGGATTGGGGTCTTAACAGTGGGTGCCGTGGACACTCTGATTGGTGTTGCCGTGGGTTTCTGACCTACGCTGGAGGCAACTGATGCTGTCTGGCCTGTCAGCTTGTGGACCAATGGTAGCAGTGAGCCGACCACGGGGGCGGGGCTCTGTAGCAGCAGCTGGATGGGCGGGTCTCCAGGATTCTGCTGCAGGAAGAACTGCTGACCCTCCTGACCAACCACGGGCTGGATGTGGATAATCTGAGTGCTGCTCACGCTGCCATTGGCTGACAGCTTCACTTGCGGCTGAGTGACCGCCTTCTGCTGGGTGGCGGAGCCAGGCTTCACTTCCTGTTTGGGAGGCACCTGGATCTGGATCCTAACGGGCTCTGACTGAAAGGACAGACACACAGAAAGTAGATCAAAACACATGATGAGTGTGATTATTCAGAGATTTGTTACCATGGCAACATTAAGATCACAAACTGAGTCGATGAAGAAGTTGGTTTAAGGATTCCTGTGTATGGATAATGAAAATGGACTGATGAGTTCTTATGTCAGTGTGAAGCATTTAAAAGTTCTAAGGGCTCCAAATGTGAAAAGATTGAAGTTCTACATGAAAATTCACAATCAAACCCGTTTTTATGTTTCTGAACCTGAAGTTGAAAAACTAACCGTGTGGTTAAGTAAACAGCAGGTAAACATGTTCAGAAACACGGAGACGGCAGCTCACTGCGAGCTGCTGCTGCCACGCCTCACCTGCATCACCTGTCCAGGCCCCAATCGAGTTGGATTTTCTCAGCATGGATCTTCCTCCATGTAGCTCTTCATTTGCAATCCCACTCCCATCACACTGCTTTCTGCTTTCCAACTTTCCTCTGTCACTGATATTTCAGATCTCATCTGAAATTCAAAACCTTCTCCTTGTCAGCTAGATCCCATTCCTACAGTGCTGGTCAAGGCCTGTCTACCCTCTTTGCTTCCCCTCATACAGTGATGTCAATACGTATCTGATCACCCTGTGATTTTGCAAGTTCTCTTACTTAGAAATCATGGAGGGGTCTACAATTTTCAGCATAGGTGCATTTCCATTGTGAGAGATAGAATCTAAAAAGAAAAATCCAAAAATCATATTGTATGATTTTTGAACAATTTATTTGTGAATTGGCCCACCCTGTATTCTTCACTTACCACTGGAACTGTTCCTGTTTCCTTTAAAGTTGCTGCCATCACCCCAATATTGAAAAAAACAAACAAACAAAAAAAAACAAAACGGGTCTAGACCTCAATAATTTTGACAATTTTTGTTCTATTTCCAATCTACCATTCCTCTCAAAAATTCTCAAGAAGATAGTTGCCACTAACAATAATCTGTATGAATAGTTCCAGTCTGGTTTTCTGGTTTAATCATGATTCTGCTCTCCCCCCATCCTCCCTGACCCTCTGTTTAGCCGAACTAAATTCATGGTTCTCTTCTAATCTTCTTAAACTCAACAGTAACAAATCCGAGCTTGTCTTGGTCGGCTCTAAATCAACATTATCCAGAAACAACAGTTTCTCTATTACAATCAATACTCAATCAAAAAATAAAACTCGCCGGTCTCCATTTCTTCCTCTGTGGAAAGCTTGGGTGTCATCCTCAACAGTACTCTATCTTTCAATTCACACATCAATAATGTCACTCGGTCTGCATATTTTCAATTGTCTCCGTCCTTTTCTCTCCCCACATGCTGCTGCCACTCTTGTCCATAGCCTTGCTTCTTTTTGGTCTTACTCAAAAATCCATCCACAAGCTCCAATGGGTCCAGAACTCTGCTGCCCATATTATCATCAGGATCCCTTCTATCCATCACATCACTCCTGTCTTGCAGCAGCTTCATTGGCTCCCGGTCAAATATCGCATCAATTTCAAAATGCTTCTGTATACATTTAAGGCTATTCAACATCTCTCCCTCTCTCTGATTTGGTTCAGATCACCATTCCATCTCAGTGTCTTAGATCTTCTTCTCTCTCTCTGTCCCCTCTCCCCGTCTTGCCACCATGAGGAGCAGGGCTTTCAGCTGCTCTGCTCCTCGACTCTGGAACTCCCTTCCTCCTGATATAAGAAATATCACTTCATTCTCTCTTTTTAAGTCTAGACTCAAAACGCACTTGTTCAAAACAGCTCATCCCACATAACACTCTGCTATTTCAAATGTGTTTTATGTCTTATGCTCTTATGATTGTGTAAATTGCTTGCTTTTATTATTCTGCTGTGTACAGTGTCCTTGAGTGCTCTGAAAGGCGCTTTCAAATAAAATGTAGTATTATCATTATTTTTATTATTATGTGACCCACCTTTTTCTGGATCAAGGGGATCGAGCTTCCCGTCTGCATGGCCACCTGCTGGGCCACGCTCTTCAGCTGCTGGGAGGCGTTGTTCGGGCCTTTCAGGTTCTGCTGGGAGACCTGGATCTGCTGCTTTGGGACCTGCTGCTGTGACACCTGGACCTGCTGCTGCTGGGACTTGGTGACCTGGTTGATGACCTGCTGCAGCTGACTCGGATCCAGAGCTGCGCTGTGAGCCGGTTTGATCAGCTGGCCCTGCTGGAGCAGCTGGGCCGCCTCGGTGTCGGAAACCTGGACCACCTGCTGCTTGGTGAGCTGCTCCAGCAGCGCCTGCTGCTCCTCTGCCGTCAGCCCGGAGCTCTCCACCAGGCTGCCGTCTGGCTGCACGTACAGGATGGTGGTGTTAGCCAGGTCGGTGAACTCCGTGGCCACCAGAATGCTCTGCTCCTCCGGCTGGCTCGGCAGTAGCTCCGCCAGCTGAGCCCCGGACGCCACGGGTACACTGTGGCCCGGCTGGTCGCCCTCCGTGCCGGACACGGGCTTCAGATTGCCGCTCTGGTTGCCGGCCGCCGCTACGTTCTCCCCGGGCTTGCTGCTGTGAGCAGCGGGGGTTGGTGGTGAGCCGTCCCCGAGCTGGGCGCTCAGGGCGGTGGGGGGCTGATCCGCGGCCCCCGACGACTCCGGGGCTGTTATTGTTCTGTCACCCTCGCTGTCCGCCATTTTGGCTGTGAGGTTGGAGTCAGTGCAGACACTCGGGGGATCAAACCAGCCGGATCGATCGATCGATTACACCGAATAAATACTGATTTATGGACGCTGTGTGTGTACGAAGCAGAAACGCTCCGCGGGGATGAAGGACGACATTAACGGGAGCAGTGATACCGGGAGCGCTGACGGTTAGCGGGGGGAGATTTGAACTAGCCTAGCTTAGCCCGAGCAGGAGCGGGAGCGCGCATTTCCCGGAGCGGATCCAGTGTTTCACCGTGAAAAGATCCGGCGTGGGTCATCTTTAAAAAAGTTTAAAATCACTTTAAAAGTGTGTAAAATCACAGCCGAGTTTAGTTCACTGAAGATTAATAGAAAATAAAATCGCATTTACATTAAAGATACCCTAAGCGTTTTAAAATAAAGACATTTTGACGAAAAGCTGTTTGTGAGCAAACAGCACATTATGATTGATTAGAGAGTTTTGTATACCGGATATTTCTCTAATTTCATCTTTATATTGATTTACTTTTATAAATGTATCTCCAGAAAACACACACACAAAATCAAGTTAAATTAATCCAGTCATTCATTTTTCACCAGTTTTACTCGTCTGTTCCAGTTAAAAATATTTGTTAATCTGATCCAGTTTCCTTGTTTTCCAGTCAGCTGTTGTCGAGTTTCCGTTTCCGGTCATTAAATTCTGAATGTTTATGTTTATTTATTAATTATAAGGCAGGAGATGGAGTTTTATCGGTGGAGTTTTAGTTTTATCCAGAATAAACAAACAAACACCTAAAATAAATATAAAAACCGGAAGCTGAGGGGAGCCGCGGCGTCTTGATGCTTGTGACCAACAGGTGGCGCAGTTTGCGGACGGCCTCGGTGGAAGCAGTCACGCAGGGCGATGTCACCTGTCCGATCCCCAACACCCAGCTGCACCAAAAACACCTGGATCAACATCTGCGCGGCCTCGTTCGCGGGCAGCTTTCGGTGAGATGTCACGATCTCCTTCACGCGCCGGTGTTAGCCAGCGTGCTAACAGCGTTCGACACTGATGCTAGCCCGGACACTTATGTGTAAACAAAGCGGTGACTGTTTGTTTGTTTTTGTTTATTTAATTATTTCTTTGTTTGTTCACTTCGTTTTGGGGATATTTATTCTCAGTTGTCACCTTCCACAGAACCTTACCGAGCTAACATCAGCCTTTTGCAACGTCAAACCAAACTCCGTTCAGTAAACGGCCATTTTTAAGATCCGCTGAGTTTGGAACACAAGAACAGAAGCTTAAGGGAAACCAAGACTTTCCATAACATCCAGCAAACGGTTCTGCTTTATTTGGCACAAGTCTGCTCCACCGAACAGGCTTTAAATCCGGTTAAATTTCAACGTTTGTTCAGGCTGGTCGCTTTCAAACTGCAGATTCACCTTTATTGTTATTTTAATGAAAAGTAGAATGACGTCGCTGGCTCCCTTATATTGCGTCTGCGCGGCGTGTAGCTGCCAGATGTCGAACCGCAAACATGTTTTTGGCGTAAAGGCTCATTGATAATTGATCAGGAATAGGGACCTTCATGGCGTCCACGCCGAACTCCACTTAACAAACGGAGATTTTACTGTGAATCCGCCTCAGCGAAAATTAGATCAGTGTTCAGCAGCACCGTTTGAGCTTGGCTAGCGTTTTTTTTTTTAATTCGGTGTCTGTTTGATCCACTGAGCTGCCGTACTATCGGTAAATCTCAGGCGTTCACGTGCTTCAGGGCGCCGCCCTCGCAGACTGGTGAAGGGTTAAAGATTAAAATCCTGACGGTAGTGAGAGACTTCCTGGCGTTCCCAGAACAGCCAGAAGGTTCTAAACAGATATTCACTGAACTCTTTGGTTCAGGCTCCTGCAGGTGATGAGCAGGTTTTTCACCTGTCCTCAGGTGTATTTCTGTGTTGTTGTTTTTTGCTAGGATCAGCTGAGTTCACCTCGGCAGTAACATGGCTGCTCAGCTGGCCCCGCAGTCTGTCCTGAGGGAGTTCTGCCCACTCTACTACCTGCTGAATGCCATCCCAGCCAAGGTATGTACCTGTCGAGGTGTGGATGATGATGATGGTGTCAGAGATGAAGCTGAGGGGTCCCCTGTTTCCCTGCAGGTGCAGCGGGGCTTCAGGTCAGTCCTGGTTTACCTGACAGCTTTGGACAGTAGCAGTGACTTCCTGGCTGTGGGCAGCAGCATTGGTATGCTCTACCTGTACTGCCGCCGGCTCGCACACCTGAACAAATACAGCTTAGAGGTGAGAGGTCTTTTCCTACAATACTTAGGTACTAAGTGTTGGGGAGGTTTATGTGGACTTGTGTCAGACAGGCAATGGCACACAGGTGATGTCAGATAGCTGGCAGGTTAAATAAAGACAGAAATTATATTTGGATTCTTTAAACGGGTACCTTTGCATCTGCATGATGCGCTCAGACTTTCATTAACTCATGTTTACACTGATGCAGGTGTGCTCAGACAGGTGACAATCATCTCCTGCAGTCATGTGACCAGTGATGCATTCAGGTTCAGGTGTTACAGGTTACATTTGGTTCAACCTCAAACTCTCCTGGAGCCACCTGTGAGAGCTTGAAAAGGTTTGAACAGGAATGAGACGCACCGAGACAGATCACATGATCATAAAACATGTTGCAGTGCATGGTGAGATGTTTGTTCACCACAGACAGGACAGGTAACAAGTTCACACCTGGAAGACCGAGAGACAGGAGACTGCTTTTGACCTGTGTGTGTGTGTGTGTGTGTGTGTGTGTAACAGGGGAAGTATGATGCAATCACAGCTGTGAAGCTGCTCAGCTGCTTTGATGACCTGGTTGCTGTAGGAACCTCTTCAGGACGGGTTGCAGTCTTTCAGCTGGTATCTCCGCTTCCTGGTCGCAACAAACAGGTAAGAAGATTGATTGACAATGAACGCTGTTGTTACCCCCTCTGCCTCTGTGCACCCGTGTCACACACACACACACACACAGCTGTCTGTCTCTGTGCAGCTGCGGCGTTTCGACGTTGTCGGCCTCCATAAAGGCTCTGTCACAGCGTTGGCGTGGAGCACAAACGGGATGAAGCTTTTCTCCGGTGACGATAAAGGACGAGTTGTGTTCACCTCTCTGGACCTGGACCAGGTAAATACCAACACTGCCTCCGTCCTGTCCATTGTAACACACCCGCCCTTACACTGTGTGTGTGCGTCCGTGCAGGGGGTGTGTAAGCCTGTGTTGCTGCTGGAGGAGTCCTCAGGTGTGGTTCAGATGGAGTATAGTCACCAGGTGCTGCTGGTATCAACGCAGCAGAGATCCCTGCTATACTGCACACAGAAACAGGAAGTGCTACAGCTGGGCACCAAGCCCCGCAAGAGGTAACCGCAGACCCCACCTATCCCCACCCCGCCTCCCCATCCCCTTACCCCATCCTCATCTCACCTCCTGTTGCAGTTGTGTGTCGTATTTTGAAAGAAATTTTTACACGTTGCCATAGCGACCAGAGAGCATTAAGTGGCAGAGAGGAGGGTGTCAGTGTTGTTGGCACATTTCAGGAGGATGCTGCTAATAAAGTTACACAATTACACAGTGAATTTGCGTTTATTATTATATTTACAAAATGCCACAGTTTTTGTCTTGGTCGTGTCATTTTATTTTCTTATATTTGTCCGCCACACCTTAAAGGCCGGTCTGTGAAAATATTGTCTGACATTAAACCGGTCTGTGGCCCAAAAAAGTTTGGGGACCGCTGTTGTAAGGTAAAGACCCTAAAATTGTACCGGTTACTGATTTAGTGGTACTCGTCTATATTATCTATACCTGTGCTCACTGGTGATACTCGTACAAAGAAGCATCACTTGTACCTGTACTGATACTGTGGAATTTGTGTGCTGTTACAGCAGTGGACGGTTCGGAGCCTGTTTCCTACCTGCTCTCTGTAAACAGAGTGACCTTCAGGTTTTTGCTGCTCGACCTGGACTTAGACTGTGGAGGTCTGACATCAGAGGACAGGTGGAGGACACCCGGCTGCTCAAGCCCCTCTTTAACTCACAGGTACACTGGGAAACACCAACACATACTTATACATATACACTGAAATTGATACACCTGTGTTAGTAACAGACCTGTTTTCTGTACACCTGTCTGACTCAGATACCTCAGTTTGAGTTGTTTCCTCGTCCTGACCCGATCGGAGGGTACCGTCCAGCAGACCGCCAGCTCGGGCTGCTTAGTTGTTTCCTGAAAGAGGGCTGGATCCTCAGTTGGAATGAGTACAGCATCTATGTCCTGGACTGTCTGAACCAGGTACTTCTGATTGAATGATGTGATCTTCAAGATAACTTGGGCTATAATTATTCACGACATTAAGGCTTTTAAATTAAATTCTGGACCAAACAGGGAGCAAGTAAAAGAGAAGCCAGTATGGGAAAAAATATGGGGGATAGGGTTTTTGAGGCAGTGTTAATTTTCACAATAAATTTGGACTTAGTTTCAGTCTTAATTTAGGCATCTAAATTTTTTTCGTTTTAGTCTATTTTCAGTTGACTAAATATCATAAGGTTATCGTAGACTAGAGGTTAGGTAATCTGACCAAAATATAAAATGTAAAAGTGTGTTGTGTTTTTACCGGCGACGGTTGCTCCACACGGTTTATAAACCGTCTTCTTTTACTTCACGTCAAATGTGTTCTCTGGAATTTTGGGCGTCACATGACCAATATAGTAGCTTAACAGACAAGTTCTGAAAACCACGTGCTACTTTTTTTCAAAGCAGCTCCATCCCTTAATAAGGACACAATACTGGTATGTCAACACCTTCGGCAGTAACACAGAGCCAAAGTTTTACTTGTCCACAAAGTAGCCCAAATACTAACATGGATAGCACAAACAAAGGCACTGTGCGGTCAAACTTTAGAACAAAGTTCAATAATATCAATATCACTACTGGAAAGTAAAGTGACAGAGATAAGATGTAATGACCATATGCAGCACTGGGGCTGTGCGATATGACCAAAATCTCATATCCCGATATGAGACATATATCACAAAATGGTGCATTTTCTGTAAATTCAGTGAATTTCGGCATGAAACGACATATTTTTAGATATAAGTTGTAACGGCTGCCATTTCCTTTGTAAGTATTTGTTACATGGTGTGCTGCAGGGAAAAGCCTGTTCTAACGTTTGAGTCTAAGGTTTATTTTGAGCACCTGACGACTCTTTTTTTGCTTCTCTTTCGTAAACTCTCTCCATACTCTGTTACGTAACTGAAGAAGCTTCTCGGATGAGAGGTGAAACGTCTTCAAGACCTTGAAAAGGACAAAATCACTGACCGCCTTTACCCAGGGGATGCCATTCCCTGCATTTACGGACTTCCTAAGATCCACAAAGAAGCTGTCCCACTCAGACCCATAGTCAGTAGCATAAACTCAGCCACTTACAACATCTCGAAACACCTTGCTACCATCCTGCACCTCTCGTGGGGAACACCCCACATCACATCAAGAACTCCACCGACTTCACTGACAAGGTCCAGAAACTTACCCTGGATCCAGATGAAACCATGGTGTCCTTTGATGTAGTCTCTCTCTTCACGTGCATACCCACCACGGAGGCTGTGGAGACGGTCAGAAAACGACTACAAGAAGACAGCTCCTTGGAGGACAGGACCAACTTCACACCCGATCAGAT